AGCCACCTAGACATCCCAATTAAGCATCATCATTAACCAACCATGTAACACGGCAGCCCGGGTGGCTTAGCAGTTTAGTGCTGCCTTCAGTCCAGGGCCTGATCCTGGAGACCTGGGATCGAGTCCCATGCGGGCTCCCTGCATGGGGCCTGCTTCTCCCTCTGTCTGTGTCTCTGCCTCTCTCTCTCTCTCTTTCTGTATCTCATGAATAAATAAATAAAATCTTAAAAAAAAAAAACCAACCATGTAACAGAAAAACTAGAACCTTGAGAACCACAGAAATCTACAAATACATATTTATATATTCTATTTCATCCCCTTGCCATCCCAACTTGAGGTAAACACCATCCTGAATCCTATATTCATCATTCTTTGTTTTATTTTTTGTGTAGTTTCATCGTATCTGCATATGTTCTGAAAAGCATATTTTTATTTTAGATTTTTCTAAAAATTTTTTTAAGTAATCTCTACACCCAACATGGGACTCAAACTCACAACCCCAAGATGAAGTGCCACATGCTCTATTGACTGAGCCAGCCAGGTGCCCCAGTTTTTTAAACTTTATGAAATGGTTATCATGCCATATGTAATCTTCTGGGACTTTTTTTTCTCTTGGCATTTTATTGCTAAAATTCCTCCCTATTATTGAGTATCACTATGGTGATTCACTCTTTTTTTTAAGTAGGCTCCACGTCCCAGTTGTTGAACTCACAACCCTGAGATCCATACCTAAGCTGAGATCAAGAGGCAGATGCTTAATTGATTGACCCACCCCAGATTCACTCATTTTGACTGCTGAATAGTTTTCCATTGTGTGAAATATATTTATATATAAAGATGAGACATATGGGATCCCTGGATGGCGCAGCGGTTTAGCGCCTGCCTTTGGCCCAGGGCAAGATCCTGGAGACCTGGGATCGAATCCCACGTCGGCTCCCGGTGCATGGAGCCTGCTTCTCCCTCTGCCTGTGTCTCTGCCTCTCTCTCTCTCTCTGTGTGTGTGACTATCATAAATAAATGGAAAAAAAAAGAGACATATATCACTGTCTATACATCCATTCTCCTATCAATGGGCATTTGGGTTGCTTCTTCTAGTTTTTTGCTATTGTGAATAGTGCTGCTCTCACCATTTTTTTTTTAGATTTTATTTATTTATTCATGAGAGACAGAGAGAGAGAGAGAGAGAGGCAGAAACATAGGCAGAGTCAGGTTTCCTGCAAGAAAACCCCATGGGGGACTTGATCCCAGACCCTGGGATCACGCCCTGAACCAAAAGCACATGCTCAACCCCTGAGCCACCCAGGCGTCCCTGCTTTCAACATTCTTTTTTTTTTTTTTTTTTGAGGTTTTATATATTCACGAGAGACACACACACACAGAGAGAGGCAGAGACAGGCAGAGAGAGATGCAGGCTCCACAAAGGAAGCCCGATGCGGGACTTATCCTGGACTCCAGGATCACGCCCTGAGCCAAAGGCAGATGCTCAACCGCTGAGCCACCCAGGTGTCCCTGCTCTCAACATTCTTCTTCTTCTTTTTTTTTTTTTTTTAATTACAAAGCTACTTTTAATACTTTGGGGGTGAGCCCCACAGGAATAAAAAACACCGGGAAGTGGTAACCCCCTCACCCCCAGGCGTGGCCCAGGGGGAGAGAGGCTACCTGAGGGGAAGGAAGCACAAAAGGGACCCGCTGCAGACTCAGGGCAAAGGGAATGCCATCTGTGCTGGGACCTGTGAGTACTACAGGAGAAAACGCCAGTGTGGTGGGACTGGCTCCAGGCACACAGGCGAAGGGCAAGAGGGTTGGACACGAAGCCACAAAGCTACTTGGGTTCCGCCTTCTTCTCCTTTGCCTTTTTCTGCTTCTGCTGCATGATCTCCGAGTCCCTCTGCTTGCGGGCGGCAGCAGAAAGCCCATCATCTCGGCGCTTTCCCTTAACCGAGTCGCTCTGCTTTTTCATATTCTTCCTGCGGGCAAGCTCGTGCTGGTTACCGCGGGTCATGGCGACGGCAGCGGCTCTGGCCTGCCTCCGTTGCGTCCCCTCGTTCTGTCCCCCTGCTCTCAACATTCTTATACACATCTCTTCGTGTAGACCTAGAAAAGTTTCTCCTGTGGGGTGCCTGGGTGGCTCAGGTAGTTAAGCATCTGACTGGACATGGAGCCTGCTTGAGATTCTTTCTCTCCCTCTCCCTTTGCCACTCCCTCTCCACTCTCTCCTTCTTGAAAAGAAGAAAAGAAAGGAAAGGAAAGGAAAGGAAAGGAAAGGAAAGGAAAGGAAAGGAAAGGAAAGGAAAGGAAAGGAAAGGAAAGGAAAGGAAGAAAGAGAGAGAGAGAGAGAGAGAGAGAGAGAGAGAGAAAGGAAAGAAAGAAAGAAAGAAAGAAAGAAAGAAAGAAAGAAAGAAAGAAAGAAAGAAAAGGAAAGAAAAAGAGAAAGAAAAAGAAAGGAAGGAACGGAAGGAAGGAAGAAAGAAAAGAAAGAAAGAAAAAAGAAGAAAAGAAAAGAAAAGAAAGGGATCCCTGGGTGGCTCAGTGGTTTAGTACCTGCCTTTGGCCCAGGGCGCGATCCTGGAGTCCCGGGATCAAGTCCCACGTCGGGCTTCCTGCATGGAGCCTGCTTCTCCCTCCTCCTGTGTCTCTGCCTCTTTCTCTATGTCTATCATAAATAAATAAATAAATCTTAAAAAAGAAAGAAAGAGAAAAAGAAAAAATAAAGTTTCTCTCGGGTATATAAATGAGAAGTGAAATTCCTGGGTCAGAAGGTATTTTTGTTCATCTTTATGAGATGGTGCTATACAGTGTGTTCTGAAGTGATAATCCCAATTTATACATCCACTAGCTGTCATAACTAGTTGTGCCACTTTGTATTTTCATCCACATCTCAACCAAAATATCTGTTGCTAGAGTCTCTGCTTTTAACACCATGACGTACCACCCTCTGTCCCATCCCAGGCTCCTTTCCCAGAAGCAGCATGCACCCTGCATACTCCCTGGGACCAACAGAGGGGACGGGGAACTAGTAGCATCTTTGGTTGAGATGCAATGGGGGTTACGGGGCCTGAAGTCAAGAGATTGGTGGGGCTTCTAAAACCCAAGAGATTCCCGAGGATCTCTGAGTTGTTCCTCTTCCTTGAAATCAGGAGCCCCAGTCTCCTTGGCTGCCCTCTGACCTGTACTCAGCAACTTCCAACATGTGGGTGGGTTAGAGGGGCTCTCTGCCTTTGCGGTAACTGTTCCTATCCATCTCCAAGCTGGATGTTGGAGGAAGAGAGGAGCATAGGCCCTAATCTGTGTTCCTCCCGTCCCTACCCACAGGTGTACTAGATGGGACCAATGCTGGGGACCATTATTACAGATCTCTTCTTCTTTTTTTTTTAAGTCATTTACTGCTGCTTTGTTAAAAAAAAAATTCATTTATTTGACAGAGAGAGAGAGCACAAGCAAGAGGAACAGCAGGCAGAGAGAGGGAGAAGCAGCCCCACCACTGAGCGAGGAGCCTGACTCAGGGCTTGATCGTAGAACACTGGGATCAAAGGCAGACACTTAGCCAGCTGAGCCACCAGGAGCCCCTACAGACCTTTTAAAAATTTTGTTCTCCTCTGGTGCTTCATGGGAAAACCCTGCAGCTTGTATGACTTGCCATGGTGTAGATAGAGATGGTAAAGCCTACCAGTGTATCCCATCCTGCCTTCTCTACCACCACAGAGCCCCACCTCGCCTCTAGGCCCCAGTCCCTCATCAAGCCTGAGCACAAGTGAACCTCTTGCCCCAAGCTCTCCTACCCCATTTTGTCTTCTCCTTTCTCCTTGACCAGCCTGCTTCTCCACACACCCCTACCCCCAGACTTTACCTTAGGGACCAAGACTCAAGGCCCTAGGGTCCTGATTGGGACCATACTAGGAGGCCTAGGCCTTTCCTTTTATTTTTTAAATTTTTATTTATTTATGATAGTCACAGAGAGAGAGAGAGGCAGAGACACAGGCAGAGGGAGAAGCAGGCTCCATGCACCGGGAGCCCGACGTGGGATTCGATCCCGGGTCTCCAGGATCTTGCCCTGGGCCAAAGGCAGGCGCTAAACTGCTGCGCCACCCAGGGATCCCAGCCTAGGCCTTTCCATTGCCCCATAGCCATGATTCAGTTTCCTTCTTTTCAGTACTTCCTTCTAGGACTTTGTGAGTTTGGAAAGATGAAGTATAAGCCAATTCTGAAATTTAACTAACACCTTTTTCCCCTCCCCAGTCTCCCACCCCCAGCCTATCCATGGAAGATAGGTTCTTCCTCCTGTCTTTGGTTTACAAGGCTGGGCTGAGGCTTTGGAAAGGGAAGTGCTAGCATGGATTGGGGGTAGGGAACCTGGGCTTGGAGAAAACCAGACACAGCAGAACTATTCTGTCCCAGAGCTGCAGGGTCCACAGATTCCAGACCAAACCAACCAATGGGGAAAGGGCCTCTAATCCCAGAGAACTAAAGAATTCTCTTCAGTTATCCAACTTACCAGCTGGACCCCACTCCTGACCCCCACCCCCACCCTTACCCTTGGCCGACTCAGAGGACACTGAAGGCCCCCAGGAGCACAGTCTTATGCCCCATGAAGTGAACTCCATTTGATTGATCTTCCAATGCAGAGTTGAAGAATGTTCTAATACGGATGTCAATCAGGAGCATGAACCCCAACTTTGACACAAAGAGAGAAACAGACTTTTACAGTCCCCCTGTTCTTGGTCCTCTCCTCTCAGAGCCTCTCCAGCCCCAACTGTACCCCCACCCTAACACCCATGGCTCTGCTCATCTCCCGATGGAAGAGGGAGGGGAAAATCCAGCAGCTTTAACAGATGCATAAGAGTGGGCCCAGCCCTCTGTAGCTGTGAAGGGGTTAAGAGGCTGGGCCAGCCACTTCAGCCTGCCCCTCCCAGGGATTAAGAGTCCTCTATAAAGGGGACTGTCCTCCCAGATCAGGCCAGGGGGGTATCAGGGACCCAGGCATTTTGCCCATCCCCCCTGCCATGTGGGAACTGCGGTCAGCCTCCTTCTGGAGGGCTATATTTGCTGAGTTCTTTGCCACCCTCTTCTATGTCTTTTTCGGACTGGGGGCCTCACTGCGTTGGACCCCTGGACCCCTGCATGTCCTGCAGGTGGCTCTGGCCTTTGGCCTGGCCCTGGCTACACTGGTGCAGGCTGTGGGCCACATCAGTGGAGCCCATGTCAATCCTGCAGTCACTTTCGCCTTCCTTGTGGGTTCCCAGATGTCTCTGCTCCGTGCCTTCTGCTATATGGCAGCCCAACTCCTGGGAGCCGTGGCTGGGGCCGCCGTGCTGTATAGTGTCACCCCGCCTGCCGTCCGAGGAAACCTAGCACTTAATACGGTAATGATCAGCTAAGTGGGGCTAGAGGAACCTGGTACCCTGACTCCCTGAATGGTGGAGGCTGATCAGTTCCTCAGGGGTCTGGGACAATGTGTGTGTGTGTGTGTGTAAGGTAGTTTGGAGGAGTGAGGAAGGAATAAGAAACGCATAAAGCTCTGGACTGACTCAAGAGAACTGAGTTCTGGTTTCAGCTTTCCTTCCAACTCCTTGCAGGTTCTTGAGGAAACTTTTTTTACCTGGTGGGGCCTCAGCTTCCTTATCTGCATAAGTGGGTACAATTCTTTCTACCCTTAAGGAGTATTATTAGGAGAAATTAAGAAACAAATATAATTACTATGATGGGGGTTGTGTTATCCTTCCTCTCCAGGGAACTGATGCCATAAGGCAGTTCCTGTGTGGGAGGCCTTAAGGAGGTAACATTGTGACAACCCTAATGAGCTGCCTCCTTTCTTCTTCCTTTGCCTAGTTGCACCCTGGGGTGAGTGTGGGCCAGGCCACCACGGTGGAGATCTTCCTGACGCTCCAGTTTGTGCTCTGCATCTTTGCCACATACGACGAGAGGCGGAACGGCCGCCTAGGATCTGTGGCCCTGGCTGTTGGCTTCTCCCTCACCCTGGGGCACCTCTTTGGGGTAAGCAGGAAAGGGGAGAAACTTCTTGTTTAAGGATTCTAGGGACCCTAAACCTTTCCCAACTTTAAAGTTTCCTTCTGCCCACCTCACTATCAAACATGAACATAATGCACCTTACTCTATATCATTCAGTACAGAGGAATCAACCCTGTTCTGTTCCTCTCTTCTGTGACCACTGTATCTGGTCCTTCTTGACCCCAAGGTGGAAATGAATCATCATGGGTAGATGTAGGGTTTGTCTATGGATCCATAGTCTGATCCCAGATAAGGCATCAGTGCCTTTACTCCATTGTGGACCCCCCAAGCAGTTTGTCCTTCCCTACTTGCTCCTGGCTGGGGGTGAGGTGCCCAGCCTTCAGGGACATGTGGGTTGTGGGGAGAGAAGCTGGGGTGAAGTAGGGGAAAGTGTCTCAATTATGACTGTGTCTTTTGCAGATGTATTATACTGGTGCAGGCATGAACCCTGCCCGCTCCTTTGCTCCTGCCATTCTCACCAGAAACTTCACCAACCACTGGGTGAGTGAGGGGAGAAGGGCAAGATCCTGAAGGCATCTTGTATGGGTGTGGGCCGCAGGTTCCATGTTTGTTGCCTGCTTTCCATCTGGGTGTGTTCACAGTTTTACCAGCACTCAGCTAAAGGGGCTGTCACAGAGTTTGACATGCCCGTGTGAGCAGGATTCGCTATTTTGCTAGAAAGAGAGGCTCTTGCTCATATTATTCCTTCACTAGTTGGTCAGGGATTTTTACTAAGCATCCACAGGATTCTAAAACTAGCACTGTGAGGTAGACAACTGAATGAACAGGGAGTCAAAAACTTCTACTCTCAGAGCTCAGGAGATGTAGGAGTACAGATGGGCCTGGGCCTTCTCCCAGTTGTAGTACATTATTGGCCTTGTGTGTGATGATGACCACTGCCTCATTCTGCACCCCAGTTTCCTTACCATAAAATGGGCCATTATGAGAAGTAAATGTGAAAACCATATGTGTGAAATATTTAGCACAGAATCTGACATGGGATAAGACCTCAATAAAAATTGGCTATGTTTGTGTTGTTTGGCCATATGCCAGTGAAACATACAGAATTAAAATATTTTTTCAAAGCTGTATCCCCATTTTCCTGGCAGTATTATTCACAACAGCTAAGGTGGAAGCAGCTCAAGTGTCCCTCACAAGTGAATAGATAAACAAAATGTAGTATCTACATGCAGTGGAATAGTATTCAGCCTTAAAAAGAAGGAAGTCAAAAAAGAAAGGAAAGAAAGGAAAGAAAGGGAAAGAAGGAAGTCCCAGCGCATGCTACATGGATGAACCTCGAGGACATTTCACTCCGTGAAATACACCAGTCACAAAATGACAAATTCTGTATAACTCCACTTATGTGAAGTATCTACAGTAGTCAAAATCATTGAAACAAACCAAAGGGTAGTTGATGGGGGTTCAGGAGAGGGGGCAATGGGGAGCTGTCGTTTAATGGGTACAGAGATTCAAGTTTGCAGGATGAAGGAGTTCTGGAGATTTGTTGCACAACAATATGGTATACTTAATGGTACTAAACTGTACACTTAGAAATGGGTAAGATGGTGAATTTTCTGTTATATGTTTTACCACAGTTAAAACATTTTTTTTAAAGATTTTATTTATTCACTCATGAGAGACACAGAGAGAGAGAGAGAGGCAGAGACACAGGCAGAGGGAGAAGCAGGCTTCATGCAGGGAGCCTGACACGGGACTTGATCCCGGGACTCCAGGGTCGCGCCCTGGGCAGAAGGCAGTTGCTAAACCACTGAGCCACCCGGGGATCCCCTAAAACATTTTTAAAGCAATCTATAGACTGGTATAAACTGATAACAATAAACAGAATATATGTATGCTGAGATGTGGGATAAAGGAATAATTTGGTGACCCAGAAAAGAAACGGTAAGTTTTGAGGCACAAGGAGTAGAGACGTTTAGAATTTAAAAACAAACACACACTGGTTTCTGTTTAAATTGTGCCCATTGGGTTGGAAAAAGAGAAGCCTTTTTCTTGATCTCTTCCCTAAGTCTCGTTATTCCTCTTCTTTTCCTACAGGTATACTGGGTGGGCCCAATCATTGGAGGGGGACTAGGCAGTCTCCTCTACGACTTTCTCCTCTTCCCCCGGCTCAAGAGTGTTTCTGAGAGACTGTCTATTCTCAAGGGTGCCAGGCCCAGTGACTCCAATGGACAACCAGAGGGCACTGGAGAGCCTGTTGAACTGAAGACCCAGGCCCTGTGAAAACTCCAGTTGGCTAGAAGGAGTAGGAAGCTTCTGGGTTTACTTGGAAGGGCTGAGCCAGCCCCTGGATGAAGAAAGAGACTGGGGGAGGGACATGTACTTCTTTATTTTTTAATTTATGTGTGTGGGGTTTTTTTGTTTTTTTTTTTTTGTTTTTTTTTTTGCCTTTTGCCGTGTGAAATCTTTCAAGTTGCATTCATGAGCTGGTTTGTGCAAACTTCCCTTTCTCCCCATCCCACCTCTCTTCGCCGCTGTGTGTGCATGATTGTGCGTATGAATGTGAGTGAACGTGGCTGTGTCTGAGTTTTGGGGCACAGCAGGAGAGGTAGGGAAGGGAAAAAAGGTGTCATCCCATATATTCCTCTACCAACCCAGTGTGGTGAACACAGGGAACCAAGACCTTTAAGCTTCTGGCCTTTACCCTGCTGCCAGTCAAGTTTATTATGGCCCTAGTTTTATGCAGGAGCAGGGAAGCAGGGAAGCAGGGAGTACTCCTCACAGGAGGCAGATGGAGACAAGGCATTCCAAGGGTTGGGAGAAGGGGTTGGGGGCAGGGAGAGGAAATGGAGGTATTGGCCCCAGATCAGGCTCCACATGTACCAAAAGGTTTTGGGGAAGTTAATGGGAGAGTGTAGCCCACTTATCTCAGGGATGCTTGCCCCAGGGACTTGGGTGGGGAAGTAACTCTGAGAAAAGTGAACATTGGGGTTTGAACTGTTTCTGTAAAGCCACATAAACTTGTCTACATCCACTGGCTGGGTTTTGTGTTCATTCTGGTATGATGGATCTCTTCGGAAGCCCTGGGCCAGTGAGCTCCCAACCTAAACAAGGGGTAGGGTGAGCCTAGAATCTAGAAAAATTAAGTAGTTTAGCTGTTCTTCGTCAAAACTGGAAATCTGATGCCTGCGACAAATGCAGAGGTAGGGGTGGGGGTCCGTAGGAGGAAGAGACTTTGACCCTCAGAGTTTTAATTTAGAGCAGATCAAAACACTCTTCAAATGGTACCTTTCTGTTTTTACCTCTAGTTTTATATTATTTTCCTTTTTTGTGTTCGTCTTTTCACTTTTCTCTCATATGTCCTTTCATCTTCAGCAAATCTCTTATAACTCTCCTCATATCCCAGAAATCGATTCTTTCAATTCAAATGCTTAACAATTCAGGAGATAATTACTCGTTTGAGCCCTCTCTTCTTTTGTCATCGGCAAAATATACTCATCTCAGCAGAGTCCAGAGGAGATCCTCAACTTACCAATGAATATTTATTGTTGTTCTCTCCCTTTTAGGAGCCTGCACGCTTCGCAAGCTTTAAACCTCTATCTCTAGCATGAGAGACCCACGCCCGCAAAAGACCACTTTAACGCGTAGCTCAACTCTCCAGTTCCTCCTAAATAAAGCCTACTTTTTCTAACTACCCTCGGAGACTTTGGAATAATCCACTTCAGTAGAAGGGGAAGAATGTAAATTTACCTCTAAATTTACCTCTAATCGGACTTTGATCCCTATTATCTTAAATCAGCAGAAAACTCATAACGCTGTGGTTCTTAGCTCACCATAGCGGATCGACTCCGATACACAGTGCTCGTACTCGTGCCCTTTTCCTTACTTCACCCCCCCCCCCGCTTGGGGTTCTGTGGACCAGGCGGGCCCGCCCCGCCCCGCCCCGCCCCGCCCCCACTCAGGCGGGGACTGGTGCCGCCCAGTCGGGTGGCGGGAAAGGTGGCGGCCGGGCGCGTGAGGGCCGTCGGCTCCGCGGGGCTCCTGAGGACCGGCGGGCAGCGGGTGAGTGCGTGGGACAGAGCGCTCCGGCGGAAAGCGTCCTTTCGGAGCCGCAGGGACGCTCGACAGGCGCGGAGGCCGGGTTCCCGCCACCGGGATTTGAGGCGGGGGCGGGGCTGCGCTCCGGGCGCGCACGCGCAGTTCTGCGCCCCGAGCCCTCGGTCCCCGCGCGGCCGCGCGGCTGTGGTGCGACGGGGCTGCGGACCCCTGAGGTAGAACCGACGGTTCCCGGGCGTTGGTTAGCACCTCGGGACGTCGCGTCCAGTTCCGCCCGGGGGCACGAGTGCCGCCCGGTGGTCGGCAGGAGTCGGAATGCGCTTACTTCATTTTCAGGTTTTAACCGAAGAGCTCATTCCCTTCCCTCCGGTCTCGCGTGTGGACGTAAGGACAGTGCTTGCTCGGGTCTCTTCGCTGATCGTCGGCTACTAATTATTAAGCTCCTTCTTCGAGCCTCCGTTCTTGGCTCGGCCCTTCGTGCTGCCACAAGTTACCGTAAAAAAAAAAACAAAAACAAACATCGATCTGGTCATTTCAGATGAAATTTACAACTCCCCTTTGGCCGCTCACAGACCCAGATCCTTGCTGGCGTCCGCGGCCCTTCACAGCCCGATCCTCTCAGCCTCCTTTTCTAAAGCTCCCTGACGTTTTTCCTGTGTCGTTCCCTCCACGCCCAGCCTCGTGGTAGAGCCGTGTCTGCGTTGTGTCCTTTCGTGCCTTGGTGCCTGTGCTGCTGCCCTGCCCTCTGCCTGAAGTTCTGGTCACTTCCCTGCTAGATGAACTTCTCTTTCAGGACTGAGCCAACTTGTTCCTCTGAAAACCTCTATTTCTGGCCCCCCACTGCCCACCCTCCCTGGCCAAACACTTCTTTCTTTGTGTTCTTGAAGTGTATATGGTACCTCCGGCTCGGTGGCCCTGATGATAGTAAAAGGTCCCTGAGCCCAAACAGGTACTGTACGCTTACGCTGTGCTCAGTGACAGGTGGACAGATGAATAGGACAGAGTTCCTGAGCTTCTGGATGGAAGAACACATGTAAATGAGTCCTTTGCAGTTACTGGGTGACAAGTCTGCCCTCACTTCCTCACTCCTCTCACTTTGTACTCTCTGGAGTAAGCTTATTTACTGCCACAATTTCACACACCTTCTTGTATTCTGATGCCTCCAAATCTCCAGCTCCAACCTCTCCTTCCTCAATTTCAGAACTTGTCCACTTCAGTTCCAGTTTAGAAAACCTTCGTTGATCATTTACATTGTGCTGGTCACAAAGATTCCTGATCTTAAGGAGTAATTCAGAGCGGTTGCTAACAGGAGATTGAGTTAGGATCACCAGATGAGCATTTTCGAAACACTGTCACCCAAGCCCCACCCACTGTAAATTTTGATTTAGTAACTAGACTCTGAAAATTCAAAGATGAATGAATGAGAAATACTTTATGCTCTCAGGGAATTTGAGGCTAAGGAATTTGAAAGACAGGCCTTTCAAACCATCTGTATTACATATAACATCTGTAAATGCCATGATGGAAGTATATTTATGGCACAAAGTAAGACACAAAGGATAGAGAGGTCTCTTCTGTATGGAAAAGTCAGGAGGAAGAACCATTTGGTCAGAGTCTTAAAAGAAAAAAGGAAAAACTCCAGGGCATTCAGGAGAAAAGAGTAACTTGAGAGAGCAGCTTCAATGTAACCAGCAGGGAGATTATGAAGGATCTTGCATGTAGGCATATGCAGCTTTAGTTTTGTATTGCAAATAATTCCAATAGTACTAAAATGAAAGGGAAATATTTCTCCTATCATAGCTCCCCCCCCCTCTTCTCCCCAGAGACAATCCCCATGAAGTTTCATATGTATACATTGAAGGTTTTTAAGCACGGTAGTTATATGGCCAAATCTAGTAACCAGTTTGTGAATAGATTTAAGAGAACAAGACTGGAAACTGGAAAGGAAATTAGGAAGTGGTTGACTTATTTAAGCTAGAGATATTCAGGGTCTGAACAAAGGCAGTAGCAATGGGGCTTTTATAGGGGCTGGATAGGAGAGCTTAAGAAAGTAGAATTAGCCTGAGGTATCTAGCATGACGCCTAGCTTTCCTATGTGAATGACTAAGTAGATAGTGTCAGTACCTAAAGAGATCCAAAATAGAAGTAGAAAAAAAATAGAAGTAGAGACAAATTTTGGGAGAAAGATATTCCATTTTGGACGTATTTAGTGTGAAGCTCCAATGAGACATAAAGATGGAGAATGCTATTTATTAGTGAAACAGATTTTGACACCATGAGAACTCAGTATGGCAAGCATACAGATTTGCTGTCTGATGACTCAGAGATGGTAGTTGAAGACATGGGAATGGAGGAGTTTGCCCAAGGAAGCTATGTAGAGTAAGGCAGGAAGAAAACTAAAGATGAAGGCCTGCAAACATCTGTGCTTAAGAAGGAAAGAAGGAGAAGCCAGTAGGGGGTCAAAGAAAGGTTTTGTTTTATGTTGGGTTTTTTTCTTCCCTGAGATGGAAGAGTTTGGAGCACTGACATGGGGATGGGCCAACATAAAGAGAAGATTGGAAACAAATGAGAAATGAACAACCGGGCCACCTGGCTGGCTCAGTTGATACAGCATGCTGACTCTTGATCTCAGGGTGGTGAGTTCAGGTCCCGCATTGGGTGCAGAGATTACTTTAAAAAAATAAATAAATAAAATAGAATCTTAAAAAGAAAAAGAAATGAACAACCAGCTAAAGGCCAGGAAGTGATTGATAAATTGCAAATAGAGGGCTTAGATTAGAAGCAAAAAAGTCCAAGTCAGCATTTGAAATATGTATGGTTTTAGGCTTGGATGGAGAAAGTTGAAAGAATTCTTCCTTGTCTGATGACCTCAGTTGTTCCTAAGAGGAAAAGAGCTGAGAGTTCTGGGAAGCAATGGAGCAGAGGGGCTTGAGGATAACAGTGAAAGCTAGAAACAGTTGTTCCTGGGGAAAGAGAAGAGGAAGTGAACCAGGAACATTAAAAATGATTTGCTGGGCCAGGCTGAGGGCCCTGCTCAGGTTGGAGACCACACAGTAGTTGTGTATCGTTCTGCAGGGTTTGGTTTACTTCAGCAAATCTGAGTCAAGATTTAAGTTCAGGGCAGCCCCGGTGGCACAGCGGTTTAGCGCCGTCTTCAGCCCAGGGTGTGATCCTGGAGACCTGGGATCGAGTCCCACGTCAGGCTCCCTGCATGGGGCCTGCTTCTCCCTCTGCCTATGTCTCTGCCTCTCTCTCTCTGTCTGTCGTGAATTATTAAAAAAAAAAAAAAAAAAAGATTTAAGTTCAACAGTCTAGAAAGTGGATGGCTGGATTGATCTGAGGTTGGCATCTTTTGCAGGGTGAATGCAGTGAAAGGAAAAAGATTGACACCTCACAGAGGGTGATGAGTAGTGATACAGTAGTAGGTTATGTGATACTGCTTGTGTGACCCCAATTTGATCATTTTGTTTTTCAGCTCAATCTTCAGCAACTTTGTGATTTTTGTTTTTTTGTTTTTTGGTGTTTGTGTGTGTGTGTGTGTGTGTGTGTGTGTGTGTGTGATTTTTGTTTAAATACTTGAATTGACAGACAAAGACAAGATTGTCCCATAAAGTCAGTTCCATCCCCTCCTTTCTACTGCTTTCCTGTGTTTCAGCTACCCAAAGTGGCTCCCTCTCTGCTCTTGCTCTGTCAGTTCTCTGCTAAATGCCCCACCTCCTCGCAGCTGCCTGAATACTATGGAGCCTTCAGAGGCCCAGATCTCACCACACTTCCTCTGACCAAACTCCTTGACCACTTGAACCTGAAAAAAGCCCTAGTTTTTCAGAATATTTTTTTTCAATATCACTTAGTTAGAACTTGTGCAGACTTTGTCTTTTACATGGTTTCTTTTATATTAGATGGGTTTTACTTCTTCAACTAAATTTCGATTTCTTTAGCACTTGCACAACATTTCTCTTTTCGCCTTGGGGGCTTATCGTGAGCATTTAGTGACAAATGATAGAGTCCAATAGGCAGAGAAGAAATTAACATTTCAAGAATTCTTACTTTGTGCTCAGCATTCAGAAAGGTGCCTGGTATCAGTGAGTGCTTCTCAAACTATCTTGGTAAATGACCAGGTAGGTTTTTCCCCCCTCGAAGGTGTTACCAATCAGTACCCCCCCACCAGGTTTTACTGAGCTATAATTGATATATAAAGTACTTTTCTAAAAATGCTTTTGTAAAACACTGGAACTATTTAATTACTACTGATAATTCAAATAGTACTAAATGTTTCTCCTACTCTAGGTGATACCCTCCCCCCCATCCCCGCCAATTCTCCCCGCACACAATCATTTTGAAGTTTCTTATGTATCTGTTGAAGGGTTTTAGGTAGGGTAGTTACATGGTCAAATCTGGTAACCATAGTAGGGTAGACTTAAGAGAACTAAAACAGGAAAAGAAGTTAGGAAGCACTTGAGTAATCTAAGCTAGAAATATTCAGGACCTGAACTAAATTAAATTACTAAAAATACAACATGAAAAAAACATATACAAAATGTAGACTTTAAAATTATTAGATTCACGGGGCACCTGGGTGGCGCAGTTGGTTAAGCGATTGACTCCGTTTCAGCTCAGGGTGGTGATCGAGTCCCGAGGTGGGCTCTGTTCTCAGAGCAGGGTCTGCTTAGGACTCTCTCTCCTTTTGCCCCTCCCTACTCTCTCTCTCTCAAATAAATAAATAAATATTTAAAAAAATTATTAGGGGCACCTGGGTGGCTCAATTCGTTGGACATCTGCCTTCGGCTCAGGTCATTATCCCGAGGTCCTGGGATCAAGCCCTGCTCAGCCAGGAGCCCGCTTCTCCCTCTCATCCTTGCTCATGCTATCTCTCTCTCTCTCTCACTCAAATAAATAAATAAATAAATAAATAAATAAATAAATAAACTTTAAAAAATTTATTAGATTCAACAAACATTAATTCTTACCTTGCTATAAGATGTTCTAAATGCTTATGCTTTTGTGTCCATATTTGATGCAGACAAACATGTGGACCCGCAGTGGTCTGCATACCATGCTTTGAGTAGCACTGCTTTCCATCCAGGATGTCATTTAAACTTCCTTATTTATTATTTTCTCAGTATACTGAGGTTTAGGTTAAGCCACAAAGTCAAGATCACCAATTTAGTACTAGACAGCTGGAATCCAAATGCCAAATGTCATTCTCTTCATACTAGTGATTCTCAAAGCTGGTTCTTAGAGTTGGTTTGGGGAAGAGTTTTTTGTTTGGTTTTGTTTTCCAGAAGTGAGTTAGTTTTCTATTTTCAATAGCAAGTGTATTTAATATTTTATCCTTTGTGGATTTTGGGGGGATTTTTGTTTGTTTGGTTGGTTCTTGCATTTTGAGGCCTACAAGTATTAGTTTCAGAGGAATATTGGTTCGTCTGAACCACTTGGTACTTAGTGGAGTGGGAGAAGTAACTAACATCCCTTTAAATGTCCAGGTCTGCTGAGTCTAAGGTGTTTAACAAAGTTCCCATCTGTCCATGATGAAATTTGAAAGTAAAATATAATTGGCTTTTTCATAAATTCTGGTTTATTAAACTTAATGGACTGTATCCTGAGATTTTGTTCTTAGTTTTTGTTTTTGTTTTATGTTTAAATAGTGAAAATAGAATATATAGTAATGGTATGGGATTGTTTTTGTAACAGCTTTATTGAGATATAATTTACAGACCATAAACTTTACCCATTTAAAGTGTTCAGTGTGCAGAGTTGTATAACCATTAGCACTATCTAACACTGGAGTTTTTTTCATCACCCCCTAAAGAAACCCTGTATGTACCTACTAGCTGTGTTCCACCTCTCCTTCTCCCAGCTCTGGCAGCCACTGATCTACTTTGTGTCTCCATGGATTTGCCTATTCTGGACATTTCATACTACATGGAATCATATAGTATGTAATCTTTTGTGTTTGGCTTCTTTCACTGAAAATAATGTTTCATCCATATCATAGCATGTATCAGCACTTTGTTCCTTTTGTATTGTCAAGTATTCCATTGTATAGATATACCACTTTTTGTTTATTCATCAGTTGATGGACATTTTTTTTCCCCACATTGTGACTACTATAAATAATGCTGCTATGAACATTCATGTACACGCTTTCGTGTGGACATACTTTTTAATTCTCTCAGATAAATACCTAAGAGTGGAATTGCTGGGTCTTATGATAATTCTGTGTTTAATATTTTGAGGAATTGCCTATTTCCCACAGCAGCTGAACTGTTTTATAGTCAGCAATATATGAAGAATGTGTGTGTCAGTGTCCTTGAGTTACAAAATTTAAAGTTGGCAACCTTATATTAGTCTCCTTAAATTAAAAAAAAAAAAAGACCCATTTATGAAATCCAAAAGTTTGGAAACCACAGCATTTCACAAAACAAACAAGTCAAAAAAAAACCCCAAAACCTATCCAGGAGTTTATTGATGAAAAAAAAAAAAAAGAATTTCTTTCTTTTCTATCGGTTCTTTGGCAAGCTTGAATGGCTGGTTTTCCTGTTTTGCCTCTGTTGTGACTGAAAGAGGCAGCATGGAGGGAATTGCTTTCAAAGCAGAAAATTCAGGAAGCATAATAAAGTGCTCTGATTAGAACAAAGAGAAATTACAGACTTGTGTTTATTTATTCTGTCCCATGCCTGGAAATAGTGCATGTGGTTTCTCCTTTTGCGTCTTTGCTGGAGGAGAGGATTTAGTTAACTATAGTGAGACCCTACTCTCTTGTCTGTGCATCAGAATTAACCTTTTCTTTTTTAAGTCTTTTTTAAGATTTAATTAATTTATTTTAGATTTAATTTATTTATTCATGAGACACCGAGAGAGAGAGAGAGGCACAGACACAGGCAGAGGGAGAAGCAGGCTCCATTCCATGCAGGGAACCTGACATGGGACTCAATTCTGGGACCCCAGGACCACACCCTGAGCTGAAGCAGATGCCCCCAGAATTAACCTTTCATGTTCACAGAAACACAAGAATTTGAGCTGTTTCAAAACTCATTTACCATGTGAGATAAAAAATAATAAGACAAAAACACAAAGATGAAGAGCTGCAGGAAGAGACAAAAGGGAATTTTGGGAGAAGAGATGAGTCAGGTTCCTGCATCTCTGTGAATTGAATCAGTGAACAGACAAGGACTCTCAGTCTACCAGCCCAGCTGCCCTCATTCCTTCTGAAGGATGGTTGGAAGGAGACCTCGGGCTGGGAGACACAGGGTGGAAGGGAAAGCCTGCGAGTTCAGCAGTGACTACCTTTGCTGGATTTTTTTTAAGATTTTATTTATTTATTCATGAGAGACACTGTAGAGAGGCAGAGACACAGGGGAGAAGCAGGCTCCATGCAGGGAGCCCGATGTGGATTGCAACATGAGCTGAAAGCAGACGCTCAACCACTGAGCTACCCGCGTGCCCCTACCTTGCTGTTTTTATTGAAAAGTACCATGTCACCCCAAGAATTGAAAACAGTACCTATAAATATATATATATATATTATTTATTTATTAGAGCACGCAGGAGCAAGCAAGGGGAGGGGAAGCAGAGGGAGAGGGAGAAGCAGACTCCCCCCTGAGCAGGGAGCTCCATACAGGCTCAATCCCAGGACCCCAGGATCATGACATGAGCCCAAGGCAGATGCTTAACCGACAGCCACCCAGGCACCCCTGAATACCTTTATTTTGAAATGTAAGATACATCTTTATTATTAATTTCCAAGATCTCTCTTCTGCCTCAGATCATTCACATTTTTATATGGTTGTTATTGTGAACATCCTATTTTAAGTGCCTTTATTTATTTATTTATTACAATTTATTTGAGAGAGAGAGAGAGTGCGTATAAGGGGAGGAACAGAGGGAGAGAAAATCTCAAAGCAAACTCCGTGCTGAGTGCAGAGCCATGCTGGGACCCTGAGAGAGGGTCCCAGGACCAGAGCTGAGAGAGTCGGCCACTTAACCAACTCACCCAGGCACCCCATGTGCCCTTTTTTAATATAAGCTTTTGAATTTTAGCGTGCAGTTAGTTTTTATATGACATATTGTTTACTGATATTCCCAGGTTTTCCTAGCTGTTCCTCAAGCTTGGGATATCTGGCTTGTTTCTAAGCCTTTACCTTTAAAGGTAACTCATCTATAAACATCTTACTGAAGTGTTCCTTCTCTCTGAGCTTCTGTTTCTTCATCTGTAAAATGGAAATGATTGTATCTATCACTTAGAACTGTCATGAGGTTCAAAGTGTAATAAAGCAAGGGATCCCTGGGTGGCCCAGCGGTTTAGCGCCTGCCTTTGGCCCAGGGTGTGCTCCTGGAATCCCAGGATCAAGTCCCACATCAGGCTCCCTGCATGGAGCCTGCTTCTCCCTCTGCCTGCTTCTCCCTCTGCCTCTGCTTCTCCCTCTGTCTCTCTGCCCCTCTCTCTCTCCCTCTGTGTGTCTCTCATGCATTAAAAAAAAAAAAAAATCAGTGATTCATAAGTGTCAGTGAGTGGAACAGTACTAGTCTATAATAATGTTTCTATCAACCTGAAGTCAAATGAGAAACAGAAGGACAACATAGGGAGTTTTTCATAAAGACTTGTTTATATACTTTAAAAGAAAGGGAAAGGGCATAGCTGAGATTATATCATATCTACTTTTTGTGTGTGTGTTAAGCTGTTTCTTTTATGAAACATTGGTGTTAATAGACGTTAGTGGGGTTTTTAAAAAGTGTTTGTTTTTATTTTTAATATCAATGTCTTTATTTTTTATTTTTTTAATTTATGATAGTCACACACACAGAGAGAGAGAGAGGCAGAGACACAGGCAGAGGGATAAGCAGGCTCCATGCACCGGGAGCCCGACGTGGGATTCGATCCCGGGTCTCCAGGATTGCGCCCTGGGCCAAAGGCAGGCGCCAAACCACTGCGCCACCCAGGGATCCCAATATCAATGTCTTTAATATGCTTACCAGTCAAGAGGCTTCTCCAGTCTGGGGGAAATATATACTGGTACATGAAATCATGAAGCATGGGAACTGCTGATTTTTATTTTAACTTTGTATATCCATCAGAGCTTACAGCATGCTGTGATAGAACTCACTGGATTCTCACAGTATAATAACCATATAATGGAAGTGGGATCCTGCGGGGGGCAGACACTAAGATGGAGTCAGGAGTGCTTGTGATAGATCAAAGGGGGAGTGAGTTTGGGGGCAACCAGAGCCTCCCTGCCCCGCCCCCCCCCCACTCCCCCTGGCTGCTCTGCCAGTCTCAGCCAAGCCAATGAGAAACTCAGAAGCAAGGGTTGCCTGGTAGAGGAGTCCTTGTTGGACAGAAATGGCTATGCCCCAGGACCCCTGTGCTTATCATTAGCTGAGGGGCTTCCCTGGAAGCAGAGTGGAGGTGGATCCTGGAGGTCTGTCAGCAAGCCACATTCTCTGCAGCTGAATGACAGGGTCTTTCTTGAAGAGAAGTATCTGAGTGAGCAACTCTGTGGCCGCCACAGCATCCTTTCTGTGACTGACTTGGTGAAAAGCAGAGGGAGGCATTGAAGCCAGGACTCTTACCCCATGGTGTGGCCGTCGTACTGTTGTTCTTTGTGTTAAGTTTTTCCTGAATGATTCTCACATGAAAGAAGTTCAGTGCGTTCAGAAATGTGTAAGCTAACACTTAGCAGAGGAGGAGAAGACGATCAGATTGTAAGCGGTCTAGGAGAGATGAGACCAGATAGACAAAATGAGTAGCTTCCAATTAAATGAATGAGAAGAGTGAACTATAAGTTTTCTGTCCCCTGGGTGATTTTTTCTATTATTAAAAATTTTTTAAAGACTTTATTTATTTGACAAAGAGCGCAAGCAGGAGGAGCTGCAGGCAGAGGCAGAAGGAGAGGGAGAAGCAGTCTCCTTGCTGAGCAGGATGCCTCATGTGGAGCTCAATCCCAGGACCCTGGCTGGGATCACGACCCCAGCCAAAGGCAGACACCCAACTAACTGAGCCACCTGGCACCCCTGGATGACTCTTAAGAGCGTGTTTCCACCGGGAACGGCTAAAACACCTGGGAGAACTCTTTGATTGCAGTTCTAACAAGTAGGCCCCAGAGCGCCAGCTTGCTTCGTGACCTGGGACCCATTTCTTCCTCTGCTTTGTGTGTTACTTTCTGTTTTTTTGTCAAAACTGCACGGGATTAGGACCCGAAGTCCTGGGTGTCTTACCTAACCTCTTCCCTTCTCAAGTCTGCAAGGACTGCTCTTTACCCATCTCCTTTCACCTCCCCCTCTTAGGTCGGTAGCCAGGTAAACAGGTAGCCATTACTATCTCGCTATTTTTGCCTTTTAGGTAAGGTGATATGTTGGAAGCGGATGTCTGAATACTCTCCTGGAGCCAATTTTACAAATATTGACTCTTTACATAGGCTTGGTCTACAGTCTACAAAGATAGAGGGGAAGCGGAGCTAGGACTGTATGAGATCATCTGCCTTAGAGCCTCCCAGATGTGGCTTTGTCTCTATTATTAGAAGACTTAATCATGTCACAGTTTTTAGTACCAGAGTGTGATGCTGTGTCTTATTTTGAGGAGGATATGCCGACTCAACATCTTTACTGACAGTTCTGCTGTTTTCTTTTGTTAGCTTCCTGCTACCACTTGGAGAGAGCATACAGGGAAGCCCTTCACTCTGTGTGTATATGTGTTTGTGCGCGTGTGTGCACATGTGTGTGTGCGCACATATGTAAACACACCAGTGATCTAGCTGAAAAAGATGGTTATGTCTAAGGGGAGAATCAGAGACCCCCCTACCACATGGAGTCCAGGTCTGAGGGTCTAGAGGTCCCATGAGAGAGGGGATTGAAGAGAAGTCTGCCTTCAGACTTCTTGGTCATTCGGTGCTTTACAGCTCTCTCTTGCTGGGCTGAGCATTCAGAAAGTAGAGTAGCACTGGGTGGGGGTAGAAGGATAGCAGATAACCTAGAGAAGTAGACCAATTACATAAATGCAAGGAGATAACACCAGACATTAAACCATGGTCCTTTGGACACAACTCATTTACTCTTGGGGAACAGGGTGGAGTCAGGGGCTAGAGGTAGGGCCTAGAGGAGCAGGGAAAGGTCTTTATAGAGGAAGCCACCAAGGGCTGAGAGCAGTATTGCTGAATATGCTAAGAGGACGAGACTGACAGATGTTCCCAGTTTTTCACAGGAACAGGTTAGTGGATATAATGTGTTTGTGTGTGTATCTGCGTTATTAGGGTCAGGTTCTGAAACATCCAAGATTCTGGATCTCCGCCTACTTGGTTATCTGATGAAGGTTTAGGGATCTTCATCAAAAGGGACAAGTTTCAGGGGATCCCTGGGTGGCTCAGTGGTTTGGCGCCCACCTTCGGCCCAGAGTGTGATTCTGGAGTCCTGGGATCGAGTCCCACGTTGGGCTCTCTGCATGGAGCCTGCTTCTCCCTCCGTCTGTATCTCTGCCTCTTTCTCTCTCTGTCTCTCTTGGATGAGTAAATAAAATCCTTAAAAAAAGGGGGGGGGGCAAGTTTCAGAAAAGGAGGATGGTTCTTCTGGGGAGAGTGAAGGGATTTTAACCGGTTCCCATTTAATACTTTTCCTCACCCATTCCGTTAGACACTAGTTTCTACTAAGATCCCCAAAATTTAAGAGTAACTTTGAGGAGGAGAGGGAAGGAATTTTCTCTCCGCCTCCCCAGTGCCTCAGAAGCCTCAGGACTCCAAGGAGTGTCAGATTCTAAGTAGAAGCACTGAATGATCGATGCTGGTTTCCTAGCCCTAGAGCTGTAACTGGGTGTGTAAGGGCTGGGGAAGGGGGAGGAGGCCTGACAGGAGACGGGGGATCATTTTCCCCCCTTCCTCCAAAAGGCTACAGAGCCCCCTGAGGGTAAAAGTCTCAGAGTTGATGCCTTTCTCTAGCCGCCCTTTTTTTCTATGCATTATCTTGACTCTGAAACAGACCATTTCCATAGTTTTAGATCCAAGTTGCAGTATGGAGCAGGTGCTTAATTCTCAGGCTTGGAGTTTCCTTGGATTTGATTAGGAAGAAGCCTTAATGTAAGCATTTAAGCTTTCCCTGGGACTAGGAATAGCACTTTTGGTTTGTTGTTGTTGTTGTTGTTTTTAAAGATTTTATTTATTCATTCCTGAGAGACACAGCGAGAGACGCAGAGACATAGTCAGAAGCAAGCTCCATGCAGGGAGCCCGACACGGGACTCGATCCCAGAACTGTGGGATCACAACCTGAGCCAAAGGCAGACGCTTAACCGGTGAGCCACCCAGGTGTCCCTAGCACATTTGGTTTTGACAAAAGTGAAGCATTTGAGGACCTTGTTCAGAATACTCTGAGCATTAGGGTCCTGTTCTGTTCCCCTCTCCCTTTCATGGAGAGGACCCTACCTTTATTATCTTTCCCTGTCTCTACAGGCCTCATCATTTCTGTGTCCTGTCTCCACCTACCTTACGTCTGTCTCTCTCGGCTGGTCCACTGGTGTATGGACTTGAACATGATGAATTGTGAACTTCTAGCCACATGTAGTGCCCTTGGGTACTTAGAAGGAGACACTTACCACAAGGAACCAGATTGCTTAGGTGAGTACCTTTTTAAGGAAACAGGGAAAAAAGTCTCTAGAATTTCTCAAGTCATGGGTATGAATAGCCTGTGGGCCGGAGTAGAGCTCCTTCCAGCGCTCCTTATAAGCATTTATTCTGTCCCTGAAGAGAGCGTGAAGGATTTGATCCGCTACTTGAGGCATGAGGATGACACTCGTGATGTGCGGCAGCAGCTGGGGGCAGCCCAGATCCTGCAGAGCGACCTTCTGCCCATCCTTACCCAACACCGCCAGGACAAGCCTCTTTTTGATGCTGTTATCAGGTTGGTTCCCCAGCTTTTTAACTTTTACCATGCACCAACCCTTGGTGTTTGAGCTGATAGATTTTGGCGTTTGACCCTGGTAACACTGAACAACTTCTCCCTCCTTCATTGTCTCCCCAGGCTGATGGTGAACTTGACACAACCAGCCTTGCTCTGTTTTGGCAGTGTGCCCAAGGAGCCTAGCTTACGGCACCATTTTCTGCAGGTGTTAGCTTACTTGCAGGCCTACAAAGAGGTGAGTTTCTCCTTCAGGGTCCCTGGGGCCGAAGCTGGGGGCAGTAGGGATGGAGAGGGTGGGTGCCACTTAAGGCTCCATTCCCCTCTGTTATAGGCCTTTGCCAGTGAGAAGGCTTTTGGAGTCCTCAGTGAAACTTTGTATGAGCTGCTGCAGCTGGTGAGTGGGTGTCCACTTTCCAGGATCCCAGGGGACTGCTAGAGCCTCACTCCTCCTTTGGGCAGGGCGCCAGGCTGGTCATTGTCAGGACAGTGGAGTTTGGAGATACGGTCCCAGTCCTTGCAATACAGAGTCCCATCCATTGTCTCTGGCTGCCTCAGGACTGCTTGAACTCTTTTCTTCCTACTTTTTTTTTTTTTTTAAGATTTTTATTTATTTATCTACGAAAGACACAGAGAGAGGCAGAGACACTGGCAGAGGGAGAAGCAGGCTCCCCACGGGGAGCCCAATGTGGGGCTTGATCCTGGAACTTCCGGGTCATGCCCTGAGCCAAAGGCAGATGCTCAATCACTGAGTCACCCAGGCGTCCCTCTTTTCTTCCTTCTTAATCCTGGTTCTCCTCTGGGCCTCTGTCCTCTAGCCAGAGTAGATGCCGCCTGCCTTCTGCAAGGAGTCTCTTCCTCTTACTGTCCTTCTGACTAGGGCTGGGAGGAACGGCAGGAGGAAGACAACTTGCTGATTGAACGGATCCTGCTGCTGGTCAGAAATATTCTCCATGTTCCAACCGACCTTGATCAGGAGAAGGTGAGAGGTTCTTGGGTTGTCCACTTTCTTATGCTTGGTTAGGTTGTGCTCCACCTCCCCCTCGCCCACTCGCCCACTCGCCCACCCCCCCCCCTTTTTTTTTTTTTTTTTTTTTTGCTTTTCTGCCCTCGACAAGGAAGAGAGGGAAACTTGGTCAAGGAATGAATTGGAGAACGTCCGTCAGGGCAGGGCAGTGGAACTGAATGACCTCTCTTCCTCCCCTCATCACTCATTGCTCAGAGGATCGACGATGAAGCCAGTGTCCATGACCAGCTTCTCTGGGCGGTTCACCTCAGTGGCCTGGATGACCTGCTTCTCTTTCTGGCCAGCTCGCCTGCGGAGCAGCAGTGGAGTCTGCATGTGCTAGAGATCATCTCGCTTATGTTTCGTGACCAGGTGAGAACCTGGCTTCTTTCCCTAGGCTCTTCACCTATGAACGTCTCTGCCGTGTAGCCACAATCACTCTTGAAATAATGGCTGAATTATCTGGGGCAGGTGGGTGGCAGACAGAGTAGCCATGTCCTGAGTACGGGGCACCTCCAGCAGTCCTAGTTCCTTCATCTTTTTTGTTCCTCCTAGGACTGAACCTAGAACAAGGAATGACTGTCCTTCTGACTCTCTCCTCCTTGTTCCAAATCTAGAACCCTGAACAGCTGGCAGGAGTAGGACAGGGACGCCTAGCGCAGGAGCGGAGCACAGATGTGGCGGAACTGGAGATGTTGCGCCAGCGAGAGATGGCGGAAAAGAAGACTCGAGCCCTTCAGCGAGGCAACAGGTGCGTGACCGGGAGGTGCCCTGGCCATGTTCCCATCCCTCCAGTATGGAACCTTCCCACTGAGGACTTGGGCCAAAGGCTAGGACAGTGGTGACTGGGTAACGTTCTGTAGTCATAACACGCTGATGTGCTGATGAAAGAGAACGGAGATAAAGCTTCCAGAGATTTGAGGAATCACTCTGGGCTTTTTTTTCTTTTTCTTTTTCTTTTTTTTTTTTTACTACAGGCATTCTCGATTTGGGGGCTCCTACATTGTCCAGGGGTTGAAATCCATTGGGGAGAGGGACCTCATCTTTCACAAAGGTCTCCACAACGTGAGTATGCTCCCCATGTGGGGTGGGAGCATTGTGGAGTTGAGGGTACCGGAGGAGGGTAAGCAGATGGGGCGCCTGGGTGCCTTAGTCTTTGGAGCGTGCAACTCTTGATCTCGGGGTTGTGAGTTCCAGGCCCATATTGGGTATAGAGATTACTTAAAAATAAAATCAGAAAAAAGAAAAAAAAGAAAGAAAGAAAGGTAAGCAAGCATCTCTGGAAGTAGAGCATCTTTTTTCTGGGGCTTAGCACGTTGGAGACAATAGGAGAAATAGAGCCTCCGACATTATTGTCTTTACTTGTATCTTCACTTAGTACCAGAGGAAGGGAGCCTTCTAAGAGTTTCTTCTGAGGAAATTCTAGCACTAAGGATGTGGAAAGAGCTGCAAGGGGAGGGTGGTGGTGAGGAGTAATTCTGATCCCCTGACCCACACCCTCAGCTCCAAAACTACAGTTCAGATTTGGGGAAGCAGCCTCGCAGGGTGCCTAAACGTCGCCAAGCTGCCCGGGAGCTGTCCATTCAGCGCCGCTCTGCCCTTAATGTGAGACTGTTCCTCAGAGACTTTTGCTCTGAGTTCCTGGAGAATTGTTATAACCGGCTCATGGGCTCGGTGAAGGTGAGAGCCTGGGAAGGATGGAAGAGAGAGGTTATGGGGCCAGTGGTGGGGAAGAAGGGCAACTGGGGAGGAGTCTGGGTGGAGGTTAACCCTGGAGTGTGGACTAGTAGTTGGGCAGGGTATAGGGCACCCTTGAGACATGATGAGGATGTTGGGAGGGGGTAGGTCACTGGGACAATTTAAAAAAGGCTTGGAGAGGGGATCCCTGGGTGGCTCAGTGGTTTGGCACCTGCCTTTGGCCCGGGGCATGATCCCGGGATCGAACCCTCATCAGGTTCCCTACATGGAATGGAGCCTGCTTCTCCCTCTGCCTGTGTCTCTGCCTCTCTCTCACTCTCTCTCTGTCTCTGTCTCTCTCTCTGTCTCAGTGATAAATAAATAAAATCTTTAAAAAAGGGATCCCTGGGTGGCGCAGCGGTTTGGCGCCTGCCTTTGGCCCAGGGTGCAATCCTGGAGACCCGGGATCGAATCCCATGTCGGGCTCCCGGTGCATGGAGCCTGCTTCTCCCTCTGCCTGTGTCTCTGCCTCTCTCTCTCTCTCTCTCTCTCTCTCTCTCTCTCTCTCTCTGACTGTCATAAATAAATAAAAAATTAAAAAAAAATCTTAAAAAAAAAAAAAGGCTTGGAGAAATTCCCCAGAGGAAGGGGAGAGACCTGGGGAGAACAAGAGAGGACTGGAAATTCTGAATCCTAGAATATTGCTGTAATGGTGTCCAGGGTCTATCCCATCATCATAGGACAAGGAGAAAGTTGGAAACCCTGGGGTCATGGGGTGGTCTTTTTTTTCTGGACATTAGGATTACCTGCTACGGGAGAAGGCTCAGCAACATGATGAGACCTACTACATGTGGGCCTTGGCTTTCTTCATGGCCTTCAACCGAGCTGCCTCCTTCCAACCAGGCCTGGTTTCTGAGACCCTCAGTGTCCGTACCTTCCACTTCATTGAGCAGAACCTCACCAATTACTATGAGATGATGCTGACTGATCGCAAGGAAGCTGCCTCCTGGGCACGTCGGTGAGTGGGACGAAAATTGGGGTCAGACTGTGCATTTGGGCAGTCTTGAGTGACTAGATTCTGGGTGGTACTTTCTTTCCTGTTTCAGGATTAAGGTGGTCAGACTGGGGAGCAAGGACCAGCTGGGTCGTTGTGTTGATGGCACTGTCTTTTTGGAAGGGGGGAGGGGGTACTGCTTCCCTGAGCCAGTATTCTAAATTGTCCTCCATTTTTTCTCTTTGCCTCATCTTACAGGATGCACCTGGCCCTGAAGGCCTATCAGGAGCTGTTAGCCACAGTGAATGAGATGGACATGTCCCCAGATGAGGCTGTGAGGGATAGCAGCCGCATCATCAAGAGTAAGGCCCTGGCCTGTCTCTAATCCTGGCGTTTCTCATCTCTTGACCACAGTCTCACTCTTTCCAGTATCCCCTCCCCTTCCCAAAGTTTCCAGACCAGTCCTTCCATTCCTTTCTCTTCCCCTTTCCTAGACAACATCTTCTATGTGATGGAGTACCGAGAACTGTTCCTGGCTCTCTTTCGAAAGTTTGATGAGAGATGCCAGCCGCGCTCTTTCCTTCGTGACCTGATAGAAACCACCCACCTCTTCCTCAAGATGTTAGAGCGGTTCTGTCGGAGCCGTGGGAACCTGGTGGTACAGGTACTGGGCAGCCCTGGAATGTGGGAAGAGCCGTGAGGGAAGGGTGGAGACCAAGGAACTCACCTCACGTTTCTGCAGCTTAAGCTGACCTGTTAAAACTACTCTGAACAAAGGAAGGCAAGAGGTTTGTTGGTGTTGCTGATGTGTGTCTACTGTAGTTTCCTTCTTTCATTAAATTAATCTCCAGTTTAACATAAATATCTTCATTCACTCAGGAAACATTTACAAAACATGTAGTATGTACAAAGCATATAAACTCTGGGGATTTGTTTTTTTGTTTTTTAGTATCTTCATTTTTTTTTTTTTTAAGATTTTATTTATTTGGGGATCCCTGGGTGGCTCAGCAGTTTAGCACCTGCCTTCGGCCCAGGGTGTGATCCTGGAGACCCGGGATAGAGTCCCACGTCGGGCTCCCTGCATGGAGCCTACTTCTCCCTCTGCCTATGTCTCTGTCTCTGTCTTTCTCTCTCTCTCTCTCTCTCTCTCTCTCTCTCTCTCTGTGTGTGTGTGTGTCTCATGAATAAATAAATAAAATCTTTTTTTTATTAAAGATTTTATTTATTCATGAGAGACACAGAGAGAGAGGCAGAGACACAGGCAGAGGAAGAAGCAGGCTCCATGCAGGGAGCCCGACGTGGGACTCGATCCTAGCTATCCAGGATCACACCCTGGGCTGGAGGCGGCGCTAAACCACCGAGCCACCGGGGCTGCCCAACTCTGGGGATTTGTAATTTTAGACCTTAGTAATTATGCTGTCATCCTTCTTGGTTATACTTCAGTAGCATTATAGTGAACTGGCAAATGCCCTAAATAAAAAGCCAGAAAGTCTGGAATCTCATCCTATATTAGTAACTGTTAGAATAACTCAAGCTGCTCATATCAGTCCCCAGATCCCTAGAGATGACATTGTAATATGAGCCTGAAATGGCATAAAAAATAAAAAGTTGTAGACAAGGGCACCTGGCTGGCTCAGTCAGTGGAGCATGTGACTCTTGATCTCGGGGTTGTGAGTTTGAACTACACGTTGGGTGTAGAGAGTACTTAAAAATAAAATCCTTTAAAAAAATAAATAAAAGTCTAAGATAAGAAAACACTGATTCAAAGAAAAACCTGCACCTCTTTGTTTATTGCAGCATTATTTGTAATAGCCACACTATGGAAGCAGCCAAAGTATCTATTGATAGATGAATGAATAGTGTGTGTGTGTGTGTGTGTGTGTGTGTGTGTGTGTGTGTGTAATGGAATACTATTCAGCCATAAAAACGAATGAAATCTTGTCATTAAAAAAAAAAAGAAATCTTGTCATTTACAACATGGTTGAAGCTAGAGATAGTAATGCCAAGTGAAATAAGTCATCAGAGAAAGACAAATACCATATGATTTCACTCATGTGTAATTTAAGAAACAAAACAAATGAGCAAAGGAAAAAGACAGACCAAGAATCAGACTCTTAACTACTAAAGAACAAACTGATTGATACCAGAGGAGGGTGGTGGGAGGATGGGGATTAAAGAGTACGCTTCACAGTGATGAAAAAAATAAAATGTTATCAAAAATAAATGAATGAATGAATGAATGAATGAATAAATAAATAAATAAATAAATAAAATGTTAAAGTCTAAGACAAGAAGAAAATCTCAATGAATTTGTATCCTATAGACAGAGACACTCTGCTTTGTAAAAATCTTCCTGTATTGTATATGCTGTGGCTTAAAATTTTGTGAGACCAGCAGTTAAAAGAGACAGTAGTACCAGTGAGACCTTACTAAAAGATATTTTTAATTCAGGACTCTATTGTTTTATCAGAAATAAGAGGTGCTGTTGTTTATTGAGAGTTGACTGTGTCAGATGCTGTGCTAATAAGGCTTTCGTGTAATCCTCACAGTAGAACTAGGACACATCACAGAGTGGTGAAGCAGCCTGTTTGAGGTCTTGCTAGTGGAAGAGTCAGTACTTAAATCCAGATCTGTTGGATTCCCAAGCTCATGCTCCTAACCTTTGATGTGTTAAATTCTGAGTTTCTTGAATAGAGCATGAACCTCAAGGGCCTCCTAATCCATCCTATTTGTCTGTACCCATAACTGGTTCAGTCATGAGTTAGGGGACAAGGGTGGGGTGTTGACTCTCATTTTCCTGCTTTTCAGGAGAAAAACAATACAAATTATGTTTACGTAGTGCTATGCATTTTACAAAGCCTTTTCACAGTCTTTTGTATCTTCATAACAAACCTATTCATTCTATAAATTTCTGCTTAAGATATCACTGCTTTTGGGAAATCTCTGACCCCCAGAAATAAGTCAAGTACTTTTCCTTTGTTTTGCTATGGCTTTTTTTTTTTTTTAAGATTTTATTTATTTATTCACAAGAGACACACAGAAAGAGAGAGACATAGGCAGAGGGAGAGGGAGAAGCAGGCTCCATGCAGGGAGCCTGATGTGGGACTTGATCCGGAGACTCTAGGATCATGCCCTGAACTGAAGGCAGCAGACACTCAACTCCTGAGCCACCCAGGTGTCCCTTGCCGTGGCATTTTATGCCCAGCCATATTCTAAGTTTATCCATACTGTAATATACTTTACTTATCTACTCACCTGTCTCCTCCACTGGACTGTGTGTTCCTCAAGGGCAAGGAAATATACCACTCACTCTCACTGTTGCTTTCTTACTGCTTATGAATAGCACACAGTGTTCACTCTGTGACTATTTAATTAATTAATTCAGACCTTTAATGAATTAATTAATAGAGAAGACATTGATGGGAAAATGTCCTCTTAGCTTTCCTGCCATCATGACAATAGTTCTATCTCTGTAGAACAAACAAAAGAAGAGAAAGAAGAAAAAGAAGACCGTAGGTCAGCCTGTTGCTTCTGATCACGTCCCCTATAGTGCAGGTGAACTAGAGGCTGTGTGGCCGTCCCTGGCTGAGCAGCTACGATGCTGTGCCCAGGTAGGTAGTAGGAGAAACCCTACCTATCCCATGGGTAGTGCGCTAATAGGACATCTGGGTTTCCCTCCCCTGTTCCCATAGCCCTGATCCTGTTCTAGGATCCCGACCTCAGCTTGGACTCTGTGGTTCCCTTTGATGCGGCCTCAGAAGTGCCAGTAGAAGAGCAGCGGGCGGAAGCCATGGTGCGGATCCAGGACTGTCTCCTGGCTGGCCAGGCCTCACAGGCCCTGACCCTCCTTAGGTCTGCCCGGTAAGCACCCTGCCCATCCATCCTCCTGGATCCAGCTCCTGGACTTTTGGGAGCAGAGGGAGGCTTTCACTGTGGTACAAGATTCTTTGTCTTTGAAAGAGAGAAGTCCCATCAGCAGCACAGGGGCTCTATACGGAGCACAGAGTCCTGGGGAGTTTTGATTGGCTTATTGGGGGTTTTGCTTATTTTTTTAAATATTTTATTTTATTATTTATTTCTTTTTAAAAGATTTTTATTTAGTTTTTCATGAGAGACACACAGAGAGAGACAGAGACACAGGCAGAGGGAGAACCAGGCTCCTCTCAGGGAGCCTGATACGAGACTCAATCCCCAGATCCCAAGATCACGCCCTGAGCTGAAGGCAGATGCTCAGCCGCTGAGCCACCCAGGTGTCCCTGTTTCTTTTTTTTTTTTTTTTTTAAGATTTTATTTATTTATTCATGAGAGACACAGAGAAAGAGAGAGAGGCAGAGACACAGGCAGAGAGAGAGAGAAGCAGGCTCCATGCAGAGAGCCTGATGTGGGACTTGATCCTGGGTCTCCAGGATCATGCCCTGGGCCGAAGGCAGGCATTTAACCACTGAGCCACCCAGGGATCCCTTCTATTTTATTTTTGAGAAATACCAGAAAGCACAGTTAATTGGGGGAAAAAATGTAGATAATTCTACTGGCTGAAGATAATCATCTTTCACAATTTGATGAGTAATCTTCCTGATTCTTTTCCCTCTGGGTTATCTATACAGATATTCAGCTTTTTTTTTTATAAGAACAATATTGACATACTGTTTCATATTTTCTTCTCAGCATATCACGAACATTGTTTCTCATGAGATATATTGCTGTAATTGTTAACGGCAATGTCAAATGTACATTTGTCTAACCAAATGTCAGACATTTAGGTTGCATTTTGTTCTTATGTGTTCATTGCACTGTGGCTTTTGAGGGAAAATTTCCCTAGAGTCTTTGTATCCTTTTTGAGGTAACAGTTTGCATTCTCTTTCTGGCTATCAAATGAGAGATGAGTCTAAATTAAATTCCTTTGCCTACTTCAAATTATGACTCAAATCTCCCCTGGTTGAAGTCTTTTTTTTTCTCTCTGCTCCAGGGAGGTATGGCCAGAAGGAGATGTGTTTGGCTCACAAGACATTTCTGTAGAGGAAGAGATCCAGCTGCTGAAACAAATCATCAGTGCCCCGCTTCCCCGTGAGTCTCTGTTTCCTTCACACCTCTCTCTTCCCAGCTCTTCTCTAGAACCAGCATCACAGAGACCCAATAATCCTCCCTTTTTCTATAGGGCAGCAGGGGCCAGAGGAACGAAAGGCAGAAGAAGAAGAGGAAGAAGAGGGGGAGGAGGAGGAGGAGGAGGAGGAGAAAGAGTTGCAAGAGGTCCAGGTGTCAGAGAAAGAATTTAACTTTCTGGACTACCTGAAACGGTGAGGGCCGAACGGACTGAGTTGGTCCCAGGGTGGAGATTGTGGAGCTGGGAGGGTGGGCAGCATCCTTCTTAGGCTGACACCCTCTCTCCCTCCCTGTCTTCTTGCAGTTTTGCAAGCTCAACTGTTGTGCGAGCCTATGTGGTGCTGCTGAGGAGCTACCGACAGAACAGTGCCCACACTAACCACTGCGTTGTCAAGATGCTGCACCGATTGGCCCATGACCTCAAGATGGAAGCCCTCCTTTTCCAGCTTTCACTCTTCTGCCTCTTCAACCGTCTGCTTAGTGACCCGGCTGCCGGGGCCTACAAAGTGAGGACACACCGAGGAACAAGGATCGAGAGGCGTAGGGGAGCCCTAGGGTCACAAAGGATGGTCTTGAGGAGATAAAGGGTGCTGAGTGATGTCAGGGGCTGAGAGATGATGGACCAGTGAGGAAGCGGGCAGGCAAGTTGAGCGAGCCAGATGGGGAAGCTAGGAGAGAGTCTGAGTGAGGAGGGGCAGCTGGGAACAGGTAGAGAAAAAGTACCTAGCAGGCCGGGTTTATGGGTACATTTAGGCCAGAGGTTTCAAAGCAGCCTCCCCTTCCCATAGGAGCTGGTGACTTTTGCCAGGTACATCCTGGGCAAGTTCTTTGCATTGGCTGCAGTCAATCCAAAAGCCTTTGTGGAGCTACTGTTTTGGAAGAACACAGCTGTGGTTCGAGAGATGGCTGAGGGCTATGGCTCTCTGGATGGCGGGTGAGCTTGAAGTTGGGGAAGGATGGGCAACAGTGGGTGACACAATCAGGGTGTCTAAGCTAGAAGAGCTTGTAGGTCAGCTAGTCTTTCTTCCCCTTTTGTAGGTAAGAAAACAAGCCCCTAAAGTGAAATGTTTTCCCCAAAATCACCCAAGAGAGGAAATGGGACTGGATCCTAGGTGTCCTGTCTACTCTCTTTTCCTTCCTCCAGCAGCCTTCATGGGGGTGGTCAGTCTCTCCCCTTAGAGAGTCTGTATGTGCCCTGTCCTGAAATGTGCTGGGAAACTATGAGGATTCATGGAAATGTTTGCCCTCTTTCCCTGTAGCTCTGCTCTTCTTCTTTCAAACGTCTTTTCCCATAATCCACTCTGCCACTGTAGTGTCAGCCTCCATAGGCCCAACCCGAAAAGTCTCTTAGCTTGACTTTTAGATTCTTAAATGGAAGGAGAATGAGGGAAAGGAAGCACACCTTAGGCCTCTGCTACCTGGCTCCTCTGAGTTACCTGTGTTCCCCTTCCTGTTCCTTTTATTTTTATTTTATTTTATTTTTTTAATTTTTTTTACCTTCCTGTTCCTTTTAGAGTTGACCAGAGAGGGCCTTTGGTCTCCTCTTTTGAAGCCAACATCCTACATGTTCCTTTTCTCCTTTTCTTATTTATTTATTTATAAAGATTTTATTTACTCATTTGAGAGAGAGAGAGAACAAGGGGAAGGGCAGAGGCAGAGGGAGAAGCAGAGTCCCCACTGACCAAGGAGTCCGATGCAGGGCTCGGCCCTAGGACCCTGGATCATGACTGAGCTAAAGGCAGATGCTCGGCCCACTGAGCCACCCAGGCGCCACTCTCCTTTCCTCATTTAGATCTTCCAGTCGCAAACCCCCTACGTGGAGCCCAGAGGAGGAGGCCCAGCTTCAGGAATTGTACCTTGCCCATAGGGATGTGGAAGGTATGGGTCCTTGAGATCTGAAGATTCATGAGCCTGAGCTCCAGGACGCCTCTGACAGCCTCACTGCTCCTCCACCTTAGGTCAAGATGTGATAGACATCATCTTGGCACACCTGAAAACCCCTCGAACACGCAAGCAGGTCACCCACCATCTGGTACGGCTGGGCCTGGCTGACAGTGTCAAGGACTTCCCGAGGTAGAGGCGCATGCTCTGGAGGGCTTTGAGGTCGGGAGTCCTCTGTTTCCTCCTTGAGCCCCCTCTTCCACTGACGCCTTCTTAAGCAGGAAAGGAACCCAAATTGTACTGTGGACAGAAGAACAGGAGCTAGAGCTGCAGCGGCTTTTTGAGGAGTTCCAGGATTCAGATGGTAAGTGACAGGGGCTTCCGAGGCCCTGAGACGGGAGCCGAGCCACCCATTTCTTTCCCCTGCTTCCTCTTCCCGAGGGAAGCTTATCCCATCCCTTCTCTCCATTTTACTGTATTTGGGGGGGGATTTGAATTAGCCTCTTTCCAAAGGCCTTGCTCGCCATCACTACTCCCTTTCCCCTGTTCCTCTAGTGTTTACACTTTCCCTCTCTGTAGATGTGCTAGGTCATATCATGAAGAATATCACAGCCAAACGCTCACGGGCACGAATAGTGGATAAGCTGCTGGCTCTGGGACTGGTGGCCGAGCGGCGGGAGCTATATAAGAAACGGCGGAGGAAGTCCGTGCCCTCAGGCTCGGTAATGGTCTTTCCCTGGCTCTGCTGAAGTGCCCCTCACATTGCTCCTGCCTTAGGATTTTCTGGTCAGGTCCCCCCAGTTTCCACAAGTGGTCAAGAACAGGACTTGTGCTCGCTTCGGCAGCACATATACTAAGAACCAGAGGACTCCACTCGTTTCCTCATCCTCACCCCTTTTTTCATTTCCCACCCCACTGAATTTTAGCCTCCTGGGGAGGAGTCCCCGCAAGATTTTGGCCAGGAAGATCTGGTAGAAGAAGAAGAAAACCCGCCAGAGGAAGAGAGTGATGAGGATGCAGAGAAAGATGAGAACTCGGAAGCAGAGCAAGCCCAGGGTAGCTCAGGCCTTTCAACTGAAACCCTTGGGCAGAGCCTGTATCAGGAAGGTGAGGACTTGGGCTGGGAGAGACGTCTCAGGTGGAGGGGTTGGCAGCATGAGCCCATATGCTTCCCTCCTTCCCTTAGGCTTTTCTGCTCCCCTTCTGTGGCTCCAGAACTGCCTGATTCGAGTAGCAGACGATCGAGAAGAGGATGGTGAGTGGATAAACGACAGTTTCCAGGGCTGGGGTGCTGGAAGCTGCTAGAGTCCTGGTCGTGGTGGGATGGATGACCAGTTCTGGCTTCCTGTCTTCACCACATGACTATCGACCCCGTCCTAGGCTGCTCCCAGGCAGTCCCTTTGGTGCCACTGACGGAAGAAACCGAGGAAGCCATGGAGAATGAGCAGTTTCAGCAGCTGTTGCGCAAGCTAGGGGTTCGGCCTCCTGCCTCTGGGCAGGTAAATACACTGGTTCCAGTATCAGCCACGGGATGTTGCTGCTATCTTAAAATATGTCTCTTCCTCCTCGTTGCAGTTGCCATCTCTGACCTCACTTCCAGTCAGCTCTGAGTGGCAGCCGTCCTGTTCATCTTCTGTCACCTCCCCATCCCTGGACTCTGCCTTCCATGCTACCCTCCCAGTTACCTTTCTAGAGTAGAGTTTTGATTATCTCACTCCCTGTCCAGAGCACTGGGTGGCTCCCCACCGTTGGCGGGACAGAGTCCACAGTCTCTGAGTGGTGTGCCTGGCCTTTGGTAGTGGGGATTTGCTCATTCCCTTGATGTAGCCCCAGTCCTGTGATGTTACAGTATGTTGGTCCTTTCTCCCTTTAGATTGTGGGTTCTTTGAAAGCAGGGATCATATCTGATTCACCTTTAGATCCACAATATCCGCTCATTGATTTATTTAGTTAACAACTGAATTTACGGGATCCCTGGGTGGCGCAGCGGTTTGGCGCCTGCCTTTGGCCCAGGGCGCGATCCTGGAGACCCGGGATTGAATCCCGCGTCGGGCTTCCGGTGCATGGAGCCTGCTTCTCCCTCTGCCTGTGTCTCTGCCTCTCTCTCTCTCTCTGTGACTATCATAAATAAATAAAAATTAAAAAAAAAGCCTTTAAAAAAAAAAAAAACAACTGAATTTACTGGGAACCTTCTGATGTATCAGGCACTGGGCTATACATTGTGCATATATTGGATAAATAAGCAATAAGTAGAATTTATCACCTTCATGGATCTTTACCAATGTGGGATCATATTTTTTCAATGAATAATATCAAGATCTGATGAACTAGAGTCTTCCATGTTAATTTTTTTGTTTTTGTTTTGATTTTTTTTTTTCCATTTTCAATTTTTTTGCTCCTATAGGAAACTTTCTGGAGAATTCCAGCCAAGCTGAGTCCTACCCAGCTCCGGAGAGTAGCAGCTTCTTTGAGTCAGCCAAAGGAGGAGGGAGAACTTCAGCCAGGACTAGAACCTAGAGTCCCCAGGGAGCACAGCCCTGAAGAGGAGCACCAAAAGGAGCACCAAAAGGAGCACCAGGCACAAGCCCTGAGGGCCCTCTTATTAGCCCGAAAAAAGAAAGCCAGCCTGGTGTCCACAGGGGATAAGACCACTTACCTGTTGGGTACTTACTATGGGCCAGCCATGTTGATCGAGAGGGCTGATAGGGTATTTTGAGAACATGAGGCCTCAGTTTCCTAATTCCATGCCTCTTATGGTCACTTCAGGGGAAGGGGCTGCTGGTGAGAAAGAACAGCTGAAAATGGCATCCAGGAAGCGACAACTACTAGACAGTGATGAAGAACAGGAGGAAGATGAGGGTAGGAGCCAAGGTAGGGAGTCTTACTGGGATCTGCTTTTTTCTTCTGACCTCTAGCACTCTTCTCCTCAATCCTGAAGATCAATGCTATTCCTCTCCTTCCCCCTTAACATGTTTATATACTCTCTCTTCTCATCCCTGTCATTCCTGTAGCACCAGAGTCAAGAACTCCAAAAATCCAAAAGAAGAAACGGTTTCAGATTGAGGATGAAGATGACAGCAACTGAAGAACCAGAAGCTTCAGAGTGGGAGTAGACCATTTTTAGGTGGTGAATTTAAGTCAGAGTTCAGAGGGTCACAGAGGACCCAGAAACTCCTTTTACCAGACAGAAGCAATAGAGTCCTGGGCTTCCCCATGGATCTGGGATTTAGGAAGTTCAGGCAACAGCGTTGGACCTCTGCAGTCACTCCTTGCTTCTCCCGGTTTTAGGAGTATGCCTCAGTAGCTCTCTGGAGACTTCCTCCTCTTCTAGGATCTGTTTCTTTGGGTTAGTAGCACCCTTTAGCAAATGGGAGAAGTAAGTGACATATAGAAGCACTTTGGACCCCTTTTGGCTTTCTGCTAGAGGTGGGTCACAGCACCAGATGGGGAGCTCTGTGACATGGTGGGTGGGTGTGTTGCACCATTTTAAAAAGGCGCCAAATGATCCTGTCCTTGTTTTTTTCCTGTGATCCTCCCTAGACATCAGATTGAACCTAATTCCTGCAGCTGAGGTAGGGTTAGGGTGCAGTACCCTCTAGATGGTGAATGTATTTGGTTTGTGTTTGGTATTAAATGTGTAAAATTAAAAGTTGCAAAAGGTTAATCTGACATATCAATCTGTCCAAGTACCCCAGCCTTCTGCCTGTGTTCTTGGAAGAAGAACTTTTAAGTCTTAGGGTTAAAAGAGACCACCACCCGCCCCTTTTCTCCTGCCTTCCCTACAGAAGACACGAAAACATTCTCACCTCAAGATCCTTTATCTCGGATAAATCTTCAGGTGGCAAGTGTATGGAGCAGGAAGAAGCAGAAGCCACAAAAGGAGCAAAAACCAGTTTGCCAGCTTGGGGCAGAGTAGAAAGATAAAGTCCAGGCAAGAAAGAGATGGATAAATATTACAAATATCATGTCCTTCCCTGTTCTTGGAAACCATCAGTTCCTGTTCTTGGAAACAGGAACAGCTTCTCTGTTCTTGGAAACACAGCTCCCTGTGTTTATGGTTAAGGTAGGGCCAAGGTGAGATTCAGGTCAGGGAGGCCCCTAGGTAAAGGATGCGTTTGGACTGTCTTGTTCCTCTGACTTGTTTTGGTTTTTTTGTTTGTTTGTTTTTTCCTCCCACAACCTCTAAAGGTAGGGAGTGAAGTGATCCCCAGGGTAATTGAGGTTTCCAAGGGCTGAGACATTTCCCAGCTCAGACTGGTCTTGGTATATCTTTATGCCAAGCCTTTCCCTACTTCCCAATCTGAGCATTGCTTCTTTTCAGCAGGCCTGTTGCTCCTTTGCTGTGTCTGGCGGTGCTGATTGGCTGTCTTTCCAAGAAATACCCTGAAAGGGGCCCTGACCTGCCAGTCTTCTTTGGAACTTCCAGCCCCAATTTCTTCTACCAATTTGTCGTATCAAGTATAGACCGTTTACTGTGGTTGGGTACAGAAGTATTGCTGTCCTTTTCCATTTATTTACCCCATATTTTGAAATTATTTTTTAAATGAAAAGAGGAATAAAAAGCTATCTTTACATATTTGAGTCCCAGCCACTGGATTTCTCACTCTAGGCCTCCCTGGATATCTGTGTTGAACTAGAGTGAGAATGTGGCAGGGAGAGGTAGATATTGCTAAAAGAAAGAAATCTGAGGCTACTGGGGAATGTCTGAGAACTGGACCAGCTCTAGTCAGTACATATGCAGTTCAGGATCTTCGGGAAGAAGTGGCCTAGGTGGAATTAGAAATGCAAGAGATGGGATCCCTGGGTGGCGCAGCGGTTTGGCGCCTGCCTTTGGCTCAGGGCGTGATCCTGGAGACCCAGGATCGAATCCCACGTCGGGCTCCCGGTGCATGGAGCCTGCTTCTCCCTCTGCCTGTGTCTCTGCCTCTCTCTCTCTCTCTCTCTCTCTCTCTCTGACTATCATAAATAAAAAATAATAAAAAGAAAAACTTTTAGAAATGCAAGAGATGGGGCAGCCCGGGTGGCTCAGCGGTTTAGCGCTGCCTTCAGCCCAGGGCGTGATCCTGGGCCTGGGGATCGAGTCCCACACCAGGTTTTCTGCATGGAGCCTGCTTCTCCCTCTGCCTGTGTCTCTGCCTCTCTCTCTCTCTCTCTCTCTCTCTCTCTCTGTGTGTGTGTGTGTGTGTGTGTGTGTCTCATGAGTGAATAAATTTTAAAAAAAGATTTAAAAAAATGCAAGAGATTTATTGGGGAAATGCTTTTGAAGGATGAAGGGGAGATAGAGCAGTGTGGATTGGGAGAGTCTATAGACCACAATGGCAGTCAGACACCTGCAAAAGGAGAAAGGCAAAACTTGCAGTGTTGCTCTCAGAAAATCTCGTCTAGCTGATAGGAAGTGCCAGGCGAGGATTACTTGGTTGAGAAGCCCCCCATCTGGCAGACGTGGGCTGGCTGTAGCACCTCCACCAGTTATTGGTTCTGAGCAACCTGGAGAGAGTACTGTTTGGTATGAACACTGCAGAAGATCCTAAGGAGTCAAAACTTAAGGTGTCAGCCGAAGAGACTTCTCACTGCATGTTCTCTTGAAAGGAGATCTGAACAGAACACCACACTACCGATACTTGCCACAGTCGTGTTCCTTCTGATCATTGAGGCAAGCAGCCATGAGACTGGGAGTGGAGCAACCTGCTGGGAAGGCATATGCCTCACTAAGTGGTAATTTGGGACTCTTGTATATAAGCAGAAAGTGAAGCAGAGGAAGCCCCTGGTGACCTAGGAATAAGGCCAAGTGGGATCAATTTGGTTCCGTTTCTTATTTCATGAACTCTAACCTAAAAGGTACAGAAACAGTTTCTTGTCTCTCTTTTTTTTTTTTTTTAAGCTTTATTTTAGAGCATGAGCAGGAGGAGAGGTAGAAGGAGAGGTGGGGAGAGAAGCAGACTCCCTGCTGAGTATGGAGCTCAACCTGGGTCTTTTTTTTTTTAAGAGATTTTATTTTTCATTCATGAGAAACACAGAGAGAGAGAGAGAGAGGCAGAGGCACAGGCAAAGGGAGAAGCAGGCTCCATGCAGGGAGCCCGATGTGGGACTCGATCCCAGGACCCCAGGGGTCATGTCCTGAGCCAAAGGCAGACACTCAACCTCTGAGCCACCCAGGCGTCCCCCAACTTGGGTCTTGATCTCTAGGCCCTTTGAGATGAAACCTAGAGTCGGATGCATAAACTACTGAGCCACACAGGTACCTTGAAACAGTTTTCTTTTTCTTTCTTTTTTTTTTTCAGGATTTAATTTATTCATTCATGAGAAACACAGAGAGAGAGAGAGGCAGAGACACAGGCAGAGGGAGAAGCAGGCTCCATGCAGAAAACCTGGTGTGGGACTCGATCCCCAGGCCCAGGATCATGCCCTGAGCCAAAGGCAGATGCTCAACCGCTGAGCCACCCAGCGATCCCAACAGTTTGTTTTCTATTCCTGCTTCAGCAATAGTCTGATCCTTCACTGCTACATGTTACACCCTATGGCTGCCATTTCATATGGAACTCAGACAGAGGTCCCGATGTCCTTTCATCCCCAGGATCCTAGCCACCCTCTGCAGACTCTTGATTCTGCTAGACTTGGTTTTTAAAGTTCCTGCATGGATTCATCTACATGACCTCTCTTTAAAAACCAAGTCTAGGGGATCCCTGGGTGGCTCAGCGGTTTGGTGCCTGCCTTTGGTCCAGGGTATGATCCTGGAGTCCCGGGATCAAGTCCCACATCAGGCTCCATGCATGGAGCCTGCTTCTCCTTCTGCCTGTGTCTCTGCCTCTCTCTCTCTCTCTCTGTCTGTGTCTCTCATGAATAAATAAATAAAATATTTAAAAAAATAAAAATAAAAAAATAAAAACCAAGTCTAAAATATTTTATTTATTCATGAGAGACACAGGCAGAGACACAGGCAGGGGGGAGAAGCAGGCTTCCTGCAGGGAGCCCGATGTGGGACTCATCCTAGGACCCCAGGATCATGCCTTAAGCCAAAGGCAGACACTCAACTGTTGAGCCACCCAAGCGTCCCAAGGATATAGAATTTAATGACCTTATTAAACAACTGAATCTAATTGGCTATTATGGAACACTCTACCCAACCATCACATTCTTTTTAAGCATCTATAGAATAATCACCAAGTATGAAACCTGTTAAATTTAAATTAGCATACTTTTAAGTTATTTAGTAGACTCCCCAGTGAGTCATAATACTATGCTAAGTATTAGCATACTGTTGTATTTTTCATCATTGTGTATCCTTTGGATATCAGAGCTAATGCTTATTTTGGATTTTGAACGCCAAACACAGCTTATCAAAAAATCATTCCGTCTACACCTACTTTTCTTCTAGCACAAAACTCCTAGTCAGGCTCTTATAGCTCTTCACTTGATCTTGGTCAAAAGGCTGAGAAGCGATTCTAAAGTATAGCTCTTAAACAAGACCCATCACCAGGAGAGAGCTAAACTACCTCTGACATCGGCCCTTTTGAGGTCATGGGAGTTGTTTCCTCCAGCTCATTCACATCTGAGGTTCCCCCAAGCGCTACTCCCTTGTCTCTGGGAGAGGATGTTTCTCTTAGTAGTACTGGATCAACTGCTAAACCTCAGCCTTTACCACAGGCTTAAATGCAGAGCTGACCAACAAGCACATTGGTTCTAACCACCACAATTATCAGAAAGTTTTTAACCAGGTCTATGGTCCATCTCAGACGTACATATTAGCCTCTGAGCAGCTCTAAGCAGCACGGTACTAAGCTGCACCGTTTATAATAGGGGCCTACTCCTGACAACGACTGGACTTCACTGTGCTTGGCTGCTCCCGCTCCTGGTGCTCAGCGGAAAGACACATGTGGCTTTCCCTGAGTCCAACACCTGCAGTGCAGAGGCCAAGGTACCACATGGTATCTGCTGCCTATGTACGGCCATTCCAGAGTCCTTGGAGCTGGTGGGTATGGCTCTATGTACTTTCACACATCCCAGCCTGCAGAGCTAAAGCTGCAGGTCCAGGCTTCAGCTTGGTAGTCAGTTTGCTCCAGGGCTTCCCCAGTGCCAGGCCTATTAGATCCTGGAGTCCTAAGATGAGTCCCCCATCCAGCTCCCTGCATGGAGTCTGCTTCTCCCTCTGCCTATGCCTCTGCCTCTCTCTCTTTGTCTCTCATGAATAAAAAGTAAAATATTTTTTGTTAATTGAGAAAGGGAGGGAGAGAGGTGCACAAGCTAGGGGAAAGGCAGAGTGGGAGGGAGAGGGAGAGAATCTCAAGCAGAGGCTATACTGAGCATAGAGCCCATCCCAGGGCTTAATCCCATGACCCTGAAATTGTGACATGAGCCAAAACCAAGAGTCAGACCCTCAACTGACTGAGCCACCCAGGCGCCCCCATTGTGGCAATTTCTTAAAATAAAACAATAAAGTTTGTGTATTGATCAACTCTTCCTTTCATGAATGATTTCTCTGTAGCATGTGATGCTGCTCAATAGCATCTTACCTGCAGTAGAACTGCTTTCACATTGGAGTCAATCCTCTCAAACCCTGTTCCTGCTTTATCAACTAAGTTGATGTAACATTCTAAATTTTTTGCTCTCATTTCAACAGTCTTCACAGCATCTTCACCAGGAGTAGATTCCATCTCAAGAAAACAC